CAGTTGTGCATCATTTGTATGTTTGGATGAGGAAGGCTTGGATTAGGAGTACGTAGGTCTTGTTAGGAAAAGATTGTACTAATTAATTGGTAGGAATTATGTTTGTTGTAGAATAAAGATTAGTTAACTATGTTATTACTATTGAATCTTCAAGTTTTATAAACGAAACTATTTTTGAGTGTATATATTCATTAATAAAGCATTATGGTTGGTTTTCCAGTTAAAATCGTTGTATAGCATCATATGAAATCAAAAAGAACTAAAATGTAGCAGTTTGGGAACTTATTAGACAACGATTTTCATATTAAATCATGGTCTTTACAGATAATTAACGACGGTTTTTATAAACCAACCGTTGGCTTTATAGATAATTAATGACGGTTTTTATAAAACAACTATCGTCTTAACCTACAATCCACAATGGTTTTCCTAAAAAACAGTCATCTTAACCTACAATCCACGACGGTTTTCATAAAAAACCGTCATCTTAACCTACAATCCACGACGGTTTTAATAAAACCGTCGTCTTTCCTCCTATAATTAACGATATTTACCTCTAAACAACGACGATTTTCTTTAAAAGCTGTCGTCTTTACAGATAAACAACGACGGTGAAAAGCCATCGTAGTTTTACACCCAAAAAGATGGCGGTCGATTTAACTACGGTTTTCAAAGCCTTACAACGATGGTGGATCCCCGTCGTCTATTTCGTTTTTTGTAGTAGTGTACGTGCACCAACGTATTTACCAGTATAACATACAGGTATTTTACTCAATAACAGAAGTCTCCCAAATTCCTATACAAGAGAACTTTGTTTTGCATTTTATGATTTGGCTGAGTTGTGTTGACACTCGTCATACACCGAGCCCGTCTGCCCAATAAAAACATAACACGTGGACCTTGTGCACCACGTCAAAAAATGACCAAACCACCCTCTATCTCGATCTCGAAGCTACCTTGGGGAAATTCTTTGGGATACTAATCAGCCACGTCGACGACAAGACCTCCTCTGACCACAAGTTCACCACACCTCTTAAAGTGTGCCCATGTCCTCTCAAAAGCCACACGTAAACCACCTAAACCACCACTTGATCAAATGGGACTACTGCCGCGCATGACAGGCTACTCTGCTCACACTCGCCCCTAGTAAAAGCGTGAAGTCATCATGAGAAGAGGACGTGGATGAACCCCGACCGTCCGTCACCTGACAACTTGGTGTGACATGGACGGCTTGACTCCTAGCAAAGGTGACTGGCTCGTAAATTATCTTGTTTAAAACCTCCTATGATGCTTGTAAAAAGGGATCTTTTTCTCTCTTTTGGGGAATCTTGAAAGAAGAATAGTATACAGGGATTGGAATCGGACCATTGATTCCATCTGCTTTCTTGGACGGCAAGGATCCTTCTGACACGTCATTCGGTGGTAATCTTTTCCAGAAATCAATGGACTCTTCGTGCATCGAGTGGCTGAACTCGAAACCCGAAGGGTCCGTGATTTACGTGTCGTTCGGAAGCGTTTCCGCTTTGTCAAAGGATCAAATAGAGGAAATTGCCAAGGGGCTGTTGGATTACGGGCGCCCGTTCTTGTGGGTGATTAGAGAAAAAGAAGAAAGAAATGGACAATACAACGAGGCCGAGAAAGAAGAGGAGAAATTGAGCTGTAGAGAGGAACTTGAAGAGCTTGGGAAGATGGTGCTATGGTGTAGTCAATTAGAGGTTTTGTCCAACCCTTCACTGGGTTGTTTTGTGACACATTGTGGGTGGAATTCAAGCATGGAGAGCTTGGTTTCCGGGGTGCCTGTCGTGGCGTTTCCTCTGTGGACGGATCAAAGGACCAATGCCAAGTTGATTGAGGACACGTGGAAGACTTGGGTGAGGGTGGCACCAGATGAGGAGGGGATTGTGGTGGGCGAGGAGCTCAAGAGGTGCTTGGAATTGGTCATGGGAAGTGGAGAGATTGGCGAAGAGTTGAGAAGAAATGCTAAGAAATGGAAGGGTTTGGCAAGAGAGGCTGTGAGTGAAGGTGGGTCTTCTGATAAGAATCTCATGGCTTTCTTGGATCAAATAGGAAATTAAATGTACTTTCTTTTAACAACTGAAAAATATGTAATTGTCAACTTTGCTATATGCAAATAGGAATTGAATAATTTAGCCAATTTGGTCATATTTTCTGTGTTTGTACCATAACCAATCGAGCACTAACTTAATCTGAGGTAACTTTAACCTGCATAAGAATTGGTAGTGATGAGATGACCCCAAAAAAAAATTACATTTAGAAAGGAGAAATTGCTTTCCACACATCCTAATGTACCTTTTTGGTCGGCCAAAGTGAAAAAAAGCACAGTAAAAGACACATCATATGGAACCTTCATGTTTCGTCCACGTGTTTTTTACACCCATCTTTGACAATCCTAGCTATCACTTATCTGCAAACAAGAACATCAATACTGTCATTTTATTTATCATATTAGGAACATAGCTCCATAAGAAGAAGTAAAATAATGAGACTGGACAGATGCTGCAAGGGCCAAAATGGAATGAGATTTCAGAAGAGTCAAACGAAAGATTCTTTCTGTCAAAAAGAAAAGAGAGAGCAGAGAAAGTACAGGATTTCCTTTATTAAAGAAATCCCATTCAAGATTACTTTTCGTTGCGACTGTAAGCTGAAAGCAATCTGGACCACAAGGTCCACAACCCTACAGTGTCAAAGTGTGATGAATAATCAATTCCACTGAAACTTATATTTCTCGTCCTTTAACTTAAGGTGCAGAGAATATTCAAGAGTATCCCTCTTATTTGAGGAAATCCCTCAATAAAAGCTCACTATATATATATACAGCGGCGGACCCAGGAATTTTTCAGCGGAGGTGCAATTTTTAAAAGCTAAGAGCTCAAAAAAAAAAAAACTAAACTTCCTTATCATTTAAACAATACTAATGTTATTCA